ATAGATAGATAGATAGATAGATAGATAGATAGATAGATAGATAGATAGATAGATACTGGCCGGCTTAAGGGCGGTACGGACAACCAGCAGAGCGAGTGAACAAATGACAGTTCTCATTATTTAGGTATTCCTAGGAGACATCACACATGGCAAGGCACAGCGTTATAATAGAAGATAGAGCAGGCTTCGCAACAGACTACCGCATTCCTCCACCTCCCTTTTATGTCTTTCCAGCTCTCTCTCATTCTGAACAAGAGCCGTAAACCCCTTCTCATCCCGAATAAACGCCCTCACAAACGCACACGGACAGAATGTACATAAGTACGCTCACACACACACGCGCACGCACACACACACACACACACACACACACACACACACACACACACACACACACACACACACACACACACACACACATAAACAGAGGAAACAATCTTTACACCTACACTAATATCTTCCACCGACCCATACGATCGACACGCCATTTCTGTTGTTATGGTCTGAAATTTTTATCATGTTTTTCGAACAGGTAATTCCAATCTTGCCGTGACATGTAAGAGACTAAGTAGTTAATCCCGTATAAAATATGTCTCCGCGATAATGTGTGTGCACTAAGAGAGTTAAAATAGGATTGCGTTTATTGCAGTTATTTGGTCGCTTTTAAGCACAAGGGGGCTGTCCCGAAAAATGCAGTTTTGAGAAAATCGAAGTTAAAGTTTTTGCACCTTGTTCAGTTTCTTTTAAAGGCAAGGAGAGTTTTCTCTATAACCAAACAAATATACACACCAATGAAACCAAACTTCTCTTATAAGTAGGGCAATACCCACTTTTGGTGTAGGTCTAGATTTCTGGAAACTCCCAAATCTGGATTAGCCCGCCTGTCCTTAAAAGCAACCATTTTATTTGTCTTGTATTGAGTTAGGATACTGGCGTGCTTTGGGTAGCGGCTATGTGGGGGACCGACAAACTGATCGCCTCATTCGCGGTCTGAAAACAAACGTGTTTCGTTTTTGAGGCTGCGATCAGTCGGGCAATCGGTTTGTGCTACGATGGTCGCTTTATGCCCTCAATCTAGCTAGCCCCGTCTACCAAATCGAACCGACCCGAACCAAGCGTGCCAATGCGTACTGGGTAGTAGGCGCTCTACCGACATATGCTGAAGACCTCTGGACGTTTGATTCAAGAATGATTATTGCTTTTTTGTTGACTATCTTTGTTTGTCTGCTTGGACATTGTATCAAATTATTTACATTGTGTAGATAGGGGCACACAACACGTTCAATGGAAATATCAGAACATACTTTGTGGACGTAACAGTTAAATGATGACTACTTCAGTGGGTGGCTAAAATGTTTCTTGTTCTTTGCATACGATGACTATTTCTATAATATAAGTTATCAGCATATAAAATTAAATAATCCCAGAATAAACAGAAAATCTTCGTTCGTTGGTCAAAACCATATTTTATCTACTGCACTATATCAAGTGACGACGTCACTTATATTCGCAAAACAATAAAAGTAATAATTTTTACACAAACGCGAATTTTTTTTTCAGATCTATATTCTTCAACTGACTACCCAGAGTACATGATGAAAATGAAACCTGCACCTTCCACCGAAGTATGTGATACCTTTGTACCTTCTTTTGGTGACACGAATTGACTTCGGTTAGACCCAACGACCGACATATTGTAAGCTTTTTACTTTGAGTTGGATCAGAGGTTTAGGTATGAAAAGATCCCCATGGTCGATATTGATCTTGAGATTTTAGTCAGCCCACAGAAGCTTGAGATATTATTTCACGTTACATTAACGTCCAACTTATTTAGTATGCATTAAATCTTTTCTAAAAGAAAAAAATTGAAACTGAAATACCGTTGTTATATTTCCTGTTTGTTCTGAGGTTCCAAAGTTCCATTGATTCGCTTATTATTATTCTGTACGAAGTATAGTATGTATTTCACTGATGTTTTGAAAAGTCCTGGATCTGCATGTCTAGACTAAGGAAAGCAAAATGTGGTAATTATATGAATAAAGCCGTTGCAAAGGGAGACTTGGGAAACCCCAAAGAATGTCAGAGAAAAGGACGTTTAATTGAACAAAACAACACGGGAAAAGTTTTAAATCTACTGAGTAATATTATTCTTTCCTTTGATACTGCTGTTCACAGATGGGAATTGCTCTCCGATCTGGCCTCGGGCAGGATTTTAAGCAACTTTATCTTTAACTATGCTGACGACATTCCCTCTCTGGAGAATATCAAGAGGTCAATATGTAGAAGTAGGGGACTGGTTCTTGTGTAATCTGCTTTATTGCCCAGGAAAAGTTGTATCATGTATACTGCTTTGAGATCATCTGCCAGGTTCGCGTGTAAGTTAAGTTTAAAGTATCTTCGACCTGTTCGCAGTGCTATCACATCTACCCAGTGTTCTGACGAGAACCGGGCTCTACCCCTTCCTTGTGACCTACTAAGTGTTTGAAGAATGTTAAAAATTAAAAGTTAATACAAGTCTTTCCTACACACTGGAATCTGGATGAGTTTCGTTCATGATCTTGATGGTAGCACTTTGCCCAGTACTACAACGAGCACATTTGTATGTGTAACATGATGACAATGAAGTACATTGTATTGTTGCTGTTGTCAATGAATCATGAAGACGAAAACACTAAGCAATCTGCAAAGTTAAAAAGCCAATAGGAACCTGAAATTGAGACATCATTGTAGTAAAGGTAAATGGTATTCTGCAACTTTCTAACCCGTCGTCATTGGCAAAACAATCTGTAAGCACCCAAGCAGCTGCACACAATAAATCACCTTATCATGCCACTTTGTGGAAATAAAATTATTGCGAAAAGGTCCATGTTTAACTTTCAAACGACAGTCACTCTTGAAGTAGAAAACATACCTATTACTCTGTATTAGTGTTTAAAAAACCCCATCCGACCTTGTCGTTTTCTTTTGAAATGGTGCGTGTACGAATTGTGCGAAAAAGTTTGATGCATTGTGAAAAACAATTTTATGCAACGTTCCAAGAGCTGTGGTATCACTCTGACTTCATGGCCCACCGTTCAATTCTGCGAGACTCAGCAACACACATCTTAGCAAGCCGCATTCCTTTCTGAAGTCGTTACTTTCATAAACATATTCGCAGTAGACATTTTTTTTATCAAATGCCGACTACCGCGTGAAAACTCTTCCATAGGAAGCAAGCATTACATGTTCATTAACACACAGTATTACTGTTTTAACATTTTAAAGGCCACCTCAGAAATGTTCATCCTCGATTCCGTCTTTTCTGATGAACATAGCTCTAGAAATAATCATCCCATTGAGCGTGCACGAAATAGCTGTGCTTTCCTCGGTACTGTCGGATTACGTATAAAAATCTCTCCCTTTCCAATACATATTTTCCTCTTATCAAAGTCTCGTGATTTTGTCATTGAATAAATGGTCTCTGCTTGTTTTTCTCAGAATTGACCCATTGTCTGAGCTGTGTGCCTCGTATTCCGACTTCCGAAACTTGTTACGAGAAGCTGAAGATTTTGAAGGTGGCGGAAGATACGCTCCACTCCCTCCCCCACCTCTTCCGCACGTGCGCAGACAGAGAATACGCTTGAAGGCTTCACGAAACTCTGTGTTAAAAATGGAGTAGATGATAGGGTTGAGGCACGAATTGGCGTAACCAGCCCACGTGACGATGACGAAGACTTTGGGAGGTATCAGCGACGGATCGTACGCCGAGATGGGATTGATGATGAAAAAAGGGAGCCAGCAGACGAGAAACACGCCTGTGATGACCCCCAATGTGAAGGCCGCCTTGTGGTCAGACGCCCGGATGGAGGAGCGTGAAGATCCGTTCGAGACCGGTTGTCTGCCGGCAGACAGCGCCGGGCGCTTCATGGACCTAATGCTGACGGCGTGCGAACGCGCGAACAGGAACAGTTTGAAGTATATGACGAGCATAACGAGACAAGGGACGTAGAAGGAAATGGTGGAGGAAACAAGAGCGTAGACAAAGTTCAGCTCCATGATGCACTGATCGTCAGAGTCTAAAATGTGCATTGTGTCTTCAGTTGACGCCCTACGAAACGGTGTTGTGTTCCTGAAAGATGAGGTCGTGGTGTTGAAGCTTGAGGTATGGTTGTTATACAAAGCAGTGGGTGGGGGCGAGGAAGAGGATTTGTGCCAACCCAGGTGGATTGGCAAGAAAGAAATGAGGGCAGAGAGAATCCACACAGAAATGATGAGCACCAGAGCTTTACGTGTGGTCATCCACGTGTCGTAATACATAGCGTTGTGGATGTGTTTGTAACGATCAAAACTAATAACGCACAAATTAAGAATTGAGGCAGTACTGCACATTATGTCAAAAGAAATCCAGATGTGACAGAAGACGGCTCCAAACATCCATTCATTTTGTATCTCGTTGGGCATGGCAAACGTCATGACCACACAGGCTACCAAGAGATCAGCCACTGCCAGGGACACGATGAAGTAGTTGTTCTTGACCCGCTTCAGCCTCCGCTCTGTGAAAACGGCTGTACAAACTAAGAGGTTGCCACCAATGGCGATGAGAATGCAGAGGGAAAGGAAAATTCCTTTGAGCACTTTGATCCCCACATCGTCTTCCTCAGGTGAGGTGTCATCCACCACGGGCGCCCCGCTTTGATTGGACGAGGTGACAGCATGATCTGGCAAGCTGCTGCTGGGTTGACCTTCTCCTGAGGTCAGAAAGTACGTTGGGTTCGTGAGGTTGAAGTTCATGATCATGTGAGCATGTCCACCTCAGACAGAATCAGATCCACATTACACTCTGGAAGAGCTGGACGAGAGATCATGCGGTGGTCG